TCTAAGTCAGTGATGGCGAACCTATGACACTTGTGTCAGAGGTGACACGCGAACTCATTTTTTTTGGTTGATTTTTCTTTGTTAAATGGCATTTAAATATATAAAATAAATATCAAAAATATAAGTCTTTGTTTTACTATGGTTGCAAATATCAAAAAATTTCTATATGGGACACGGCACCAGAGTTAAGTTAGGGTTTTTCAAAATGCTGACACGCCGAGCTCAAAAGGTTCACCATCACTGGAATAGAGTATACTTAGTACAGAGAAAAACCAGGCATGAATTAGGAAATGATGGAGAAAGGAATCAGTTGGTAGAAAGAATCGAGGTCAGGTGCATGAGTTGAAAGGTCTAAGAGTTGATGCTGTCTGTAACCCAAATACCAAAGATAGAAAACAACCTGGCTCTCCTATGCCAGTGAGATCCTGTGTTACTTCATAGTGTTGCATACTGTCATCCTGGCTTTTCAGCCTTCCTTTGCATGTGTCATACTCACACTCATCTGGGTAACCAACCTGTTCCTATTGGTGCAGAGGGAGGGGAAGCAACTTGAAGCGTCATTAGATGCACTGCTGAGTCAAGTGGCTGATCTGAAGAATTCACTGGGGAGTTTCATTTACAAATTAGAGAACGAGTATGACCGGTTGACCTGGTAAGGATGGCCAGGGTAATCTGGGGAGGGCTGCATGGGTGGGGGGGGCAAGCCTCCTGGTGAATAGGGCACCTCCAGTGATAGAACCATTTATCAGTTTGCAAACATCTTATGATTTGGTAAGAGCTAGGTTTCCCAACATTTAACAAATGAAGTATAACTTAGGGCCTCCATGACAAGGAAGTAGAGAAATGCCCAGTTTCCCAATCTAGGCTCTTTCCAGCTTTTGATTCTCACCCTTTGACTTCTTTGAAAAGAAATCCTCCCACTACAGTAGGAACACAAAGGTCATACTGGATCGCTTGCCATAGATATTGGTGAGCCTTTTAAATCCAACCTACTCTGGAAATATAGATCTTATTTCCAGGCCAGAAAAGAGGCTTTTACTCCGTTTCTGAACTTTTGGTGATAACAGTGTAGGCATGGTTCCTATTTTGCCACTGTTCCTCACCCCATTCAAGAAATGAACTTTTTTCTCCATCTGTGTCAGAAACTGAAAGTGTGTCCCTCTTTTCTAACCCCACAATCCCTATAAGACACGCTGGTTCCTACCCAGTCCAGCTCTAGGGCTAGGAGTCTTTTGGGGGTAAGTCTGAGTATTCCTAATCTGAAGGACCCCTTTGAGGCTACTTTACTGGGAATATTCTGACACCTTCTTACTACCACCAGGCCCTCTGTCCTGGACAGCTTTGCTTTGCTCTCTGGACAGTTGAACACTCTGAACAAGGTCTTGAAGCATGAAAAGACACCACTGTTCCGTAACCAGGTCATCATCCCTCTGGTGTTGTCCCCAGACCGTGATGAAGATCTTATGGTAAGAGGAGGAGAAGGGTACAACTTGGGAAATTAAGTTATTTGATAAGGACCTAGAGCACAGTCGTTGGCTGGTTATTGTAGAGGTTCTGAATGTGGAGCAATAAAAAGTGAGGCTGCATTTTGGAGGCCTTGCTTTTTGTCCTGGAGTTGGGGAGCTGCTCCCAAAGAAACCTGAGGACCTTGCCACCAAGGCAAAGGCCTTTCTCATCCAACACCTGTCTCGAGCAAAATGCATGTTCTTTTGTAACTTTGTATATTTTAGTCTTTGATTAAAACGTAGCAGAGAGATTTGCCCCTGTGTCTAGTACAGATAGGGGTGTGAGGAAACAGAGATGAATAATAGAGTGAGGGGTAAGGTGTCCTAGGAAGCTAAGTATCATACATCTTAGGCTGTGTTTTTCCTGAAAATGCACTGTTTGCCTGTGACAGGACCTATATATCGGTCCAGATTGAATCTTCTTGGAATGCCTAGGATGATTAATAAAATCTGTGTTTAACAGCGGCAGACGGAAGGACGAGTACCTGTTTTCAGCCATGAGGTAGTCCCTGACCATCTGAGAACCAAGCCTGACCCTGAGGTTGAAGAGCAAGAGAAGCAACTGACAACAGATGCTGCCCGCATCGGTGCTGATGTAGCTCAGGTTGGACTGATTCACTGCCCTGCTGCCCCCCCATCCCCCAAGTCCTACATGAGAAGCTAGGCTTTACTATTGCTGTCTCATAGGATGCACAGTTGATTGCATATAAATTGCCCCTGGAAGAGCACAAGAAAGCAGCTTCCCCACAATCATTTCTTGCTTGCCCTAATCTCTCTACCAATTTGTGTGTTACAGAAGCAGATCCAGAGTTTAAATAAAATGTGCTCAAACCTTTTGGAGAAAGTTCCGTGTGCCTGCTATCTAAAAGGCGCATGTGTAAATCTTTTTGCATTTAGTAGATGCTGTGGGCTTGATTTCTTGTTCCTTTCACCACTGAACATCCTGTGAATGGCAGTGTCTCCCACTCACTTAGCTTATTGTCAAGTCCATCATTCTGACTCTGAATCGTGGGTCCTTGCTGGGCTCTGCTAACAGCTTCCATCAGTTTAATGTCATATAGTTTAGACCAGTGATGGCGAGCCTATGACACGCGTGTCAGAGGTGACATGCGAACTCATTTTTTTGGTTGATTTTTCTTTGTTAAATGGCATTTAAATATATAAAATAAATATCAAAAATATAAGTCTTTGTTTTACTATGGTTGCAAATATCAAAAAATTTCTATATGGGACACGGCACCAGAGTTAAGTTAGGGTTTTTCAAAATGCTGACACGCCGAGCTCAAAAGGTTCACCATCACTGGAATAGAGTATACTTAGTACAGAGAAAAACCAGGCATGAATTAGGAAATGATGGAGAAAGGAATCAGTTGGTAGAAAGAATCGAGGTCAGGTGCATGAGTTGAAAGGTCTAAGAGTTGATGCTGTCTGTAACCCAAATACCAAAGATAGAAAACAACCTGGCTCTCCTATGCCAGTGAGATCCTGTGTTACTTCATAGTGTTGCATACTGTCATCCTGGCTTTTCAGCCTTCCTTTGCATGTGTCATACTCACACTCATCTGGGTAACCAACCTGTTCCTATTGGTGCAGAGGGAGGAGAAGCAGCTTGAAGCGTCATTAGATGCACTGCTGAGTCAAGTGGCTGATCTGAAGAATTCACTGGGGAGTTTCATTTACAAATTAGAGAACGAGTATGACCGGTTGACCTGGCCCTCTGTCCTGGACAGCTTTGCTTTGCTCTCTGGACAGTTGAACACTCTGAACAAGGTCTTGAAGCATGAAAAGACACCACTGTTCCGTAACCAGGTCATCATCCCTCTGGTGTTGTCCCCAGACCGTGATGAAGATCTTATGCGGCAGACGGAAGGACGAGTACCTGTTTTCAGCCATGAGGTAGTCCCTGACCATCTGAGAACCAAGCCTGACCCTGAGGTTGAAGAGCAAGAGAAGCAACTGACAACAGATGCTGCCCGCATCGGTGCTGATGTAGCTCAGGTTGGACTGATTCACTGCCCTGCTGCCCCCCCATCCCCCAAGTCCTACATGAGAAGCTAGGCTTTACTATTGCTGTCTCATAGGATGCACAGTTGATTGCATATAAATTGCCCCTGGAAGAGCACAAGAAAGCAGCTTCCCCACAATCATTTCTTGCTTGCCCTAATCTCTCTACCAATTTGTGTGTTACAGAAGCAGATCCAGAGTTTAAATAAAATGTGCTCAAACCTTTTGGAGAAAATCAGCAAAGAGGAACGAGAATCAGAGAGTGGAGGTATGGAGGGATCGGTGGCAAAATGGAGAAGGAAAGCCCTGAGTTTAATCCTTACTTCCATAAGTCAGATCTCTTTCCTCTTTTATAGAAAAAGGTTAGAAACGTGCCCAAAGGTACCAGCCATAGTAATAAGTAGTGGAGTGCCCTAGCTGGTGTTGCTAAGTGGTTAGCACATCAGTCCCTATCACTGAAGGGTCGAAGGTTCGACTCCCAGTCAAGGGCATGTGCCTGGGTTTCAGGTTCATCACCAGCCCCTACCGGGGCACATGTGGGAGGCAACCAATTGATGTCTCTTTCACATCGACGTTTTTCTCACTTTTTCCTCTTTTCTCCACCTTCTTCCCTTCCACTTTCTCTAAAAATCAATGGAAAAAATATCCTCAGGTGAGGATTTAAAATAAAAATAAATTTTTTAAAAATGGAGAAGGAAAGAAGGATAAGATCACTTTTATAGGAATGGTGGTTAGTAGCGAAGTGAGGACATATAAGAATGAGCTGCTTAGGAAAGGGTATACATCCATTTTGTTAGCTTTTTGTGTTTAAGTCCAGCCCTAGAACAGATGGAGGAAATGGGCAAAGTGAAAAGGGAGAATTCTGAGATAGTTGTGGAGGTTCTTTGACTCTTCCTCTTGGCTACCAGGGAGTCTAGATGCTGCTAAAGTCAGAACTCTAAGCCCTGGAACTCATACTGGTCTTCCTACTGCTAGGTTCAGTCCAGGGTCAGAGGAATACTTCAGGGTCCTCACTCACCTTTTTCTTCAGGTCTCCGGCCAAACAAGCAGACCTTTAACCCTGCAGACACCAATGCCTTGGTGGCAGCTGTTGCCTTTGGAAAAGGGCTGTCTAATTGGAGACCTTCAGGCAGCAGTGGATCTGGCCAGCCAGGCCAGCCAGGAACTGGAACAATCCTTACAGGAGCCTCAGGATTGCAGCAGGTGCAGATGACAGGTGCTCCAAGCCAGCAGCAATCAATTCTCAGTGGGGTGCAAATGGCCCAAGCAGGTCAACCAGGTAAGGTGGCAGGGATTGACATGGTGACAGACCTTGAGCAAGGAAGTGGGAATAAGCTGAATTGTCTGAGCCTTCAGCCTCCCCAGAGCTGGAGATTTTCTCCCATTCTCCTGGACTATGACCCAGAAAACAATTTTTAAGAGTAAAAATCTCATTTGAGATGCTAACAAACTCCAGAGAATGAAGAATAACTTTGAATAGCAGAAACTGCTCTCACCTCCAACCCCTATCTTAGACCTCTGTCTCAACCACCCTTCTGTTCCATTTACTCTGGATATTAGGTATGTGAGGGGTTTTTTCTTAGAGAAACCGGTGGTCAGACCTTAATTAAGACCATTTAGTAGGTGGGTTGAGAATTGATAAGCAGCAAGTTTCCTAGTGCTACATGTATTCTTTTCTCCATATTCTCTCTCCTGCTCACTTTTAGTGATGATGAGAACAGTCTGGAGGAGTTCAGATGCAAGTAACTAGAAGAGATATTTTCTTCTACACTATCTGAGAAAAGGGACAATTAAAATAAAAGTATATTCTTTTACCTGTGAATGGGGATCACACGGATTTAGCTATCTTTTCTATGAATAGGTGAGCAGGAGTCTGATCCCTCCCACCACCTCATCTGCCCCCAAACAGCCCTTTCCTCCTAGATACCGTTAGGGAGAGAGCTGGTGTGCAACCACGCCTCTGAGCTTTGGCGTCCAGGTTCAGATGCTACAGAGGTTCTGAGTTGATAGAGAGGGTGGCAGAAGGAAACCTAAGAGACCACATTTCTGAATTATCATAAAAGTCTTACCATGCGTCAAGTGTCTTTCTTTATGTTCCTTTTAGGGAAAATGCCAAGTGGAATAAAAACCAACATCAAGTCAGCTTCAATGCATCCCTACCAGTGGTGAGTGTGGCCAGCGACCTCAACTCCCAGATGCTCTTTGTAGAGCTAGGCAGTGAAATTGCCTTTTGCCCAAACTGACCTAGATGGGTACAATAAAAGGACATGGGCTTTCAGCAACAGACAAATCCCAGCTTTGCCACTGACTAACTGTGTGACCTTGGGCAAGTGACCTAATTTTTCTGAGCCTGTTTTCTTATTTGTAAATGATAGTAATCTCTATGTCATAAGGTTGTTATGAGGATTAAATGAGAAAATGAATGTAAAACACTTAGCACAGTGTCTATATATATAAAAGGCTAATATATAAAGTGTCCCCTTGGGAGTTCGACCGAGAGACTGGGAGTTCGATCACTCGCTATGAAATGCGCTGACCACCAGGGCGTGGCAGGGAATGAAGGAAGGCCCCACCGGCAGCCAGAAGGCCCCGATTGGCCCTGATTGCCAGCCAGGCCTAGAGACCCTACCTATGCCTGAATTTCGTGCACCGCGCCTCTAGTATGAAATAATTGGTATTTAATAAATGATAGTTTCTACAGCCACTTCTCCCTACTGCCCTCCTCAGTCCTTGATCCAGAACTGACCCTGATCTGATACTGCTTCATGTCAGTGGTGAGCTGATGAACACAGGATCATGGACCACTCTGTTCTGTTGGAAAGTCTGCTTATTTTGTGCTGCTAGAAACTGGCAGCCTCTGTGTTCTTAGAGGCACACTGTCTCTGCACGGCTCCATCCTGGCCATGTCTTCAAGCTAGGCGATGAGGCTTCTGGGCTGGGGTGAACAATCTACCTAAAGCTTTGGAAAAGCTTGGGCCTGCTCTGCTCTCCATGAGCCTGTGCTTCAAGGAAGAGCCGGATCAATCATGGGAATGGGTAGCCACCAGTACCTTTGCCTGCGTTTTTAAGTTGAAGAGCAGAGTGATTTTGAGTCTCTAGTCTAAGTTGCCTTTCTCACTCCTTTTGGGCAAGGGCAAGTGTTGGATCAGCAGAAGTGGACCAAAGGGTTTCTCTGAATAAAGTTACTTAAATTTTGATGGTCATATGTCAGGCATATCTGACAGCAATTTATGAGACTTTCAAGGTTGCTTCAAGTTAATTGTAATTTGTTCTCCCTAAAAAGTTTTATCTTTGATTAGCTTTGATCTAAAAATCCTGAGTTATGAGGACAGCCTTCTAGCTGCCTTTTTTCTGTTCTCTTTCATCACATCTAGTACTTTGGCATTTGTTCGGTGCCAGGCAGAATTCTGCCAGGCTGTGGCAGCAGAGGACTGGAAAAGTGGTCCCAGATGTCACATTCATTTCTGTTCCATCAAGACAAGAAATGGTATCCACAAAGTACACTGACCATATCACATAGCAGCACAGGGAGTCATGTCATTGGCTCTGAGGCAAAGCCAGACCTTTCTCCCACTTACTACTCTGTCAGCTCACTCAGGTGTTCTTTATCTTCTTATCCCTTCCCTTCCTACTGGTGTCAAAGCTAGCTCTCATATTGCCTAGGGCAGTGATGGCGAACCTATGACACGCGTGTCAGAGGTGACACGCGAACTCATTTTTTTGGCTGATTTTTCTTTGTTAAATGGCATTTAAATATATAAAATAAATATCAAAAATATAAGTCTTTGTTTTACTATGGTTGCAAATATCAAAAAATTTCTATATGTGACACGGCACCAGAGTTAAGTTAGGTTTTTTCAAAATGCTGACACGTTGAGCTCAAAAGGTTCGCCATTACTGGCCTAGGGTTTATGCTGTGCTTCTGTAAAATCCCTGAAGCAAACTTTTGGTAACTGCTATTCTTTATTCCACCAAAAGATTCCTTCCTGCTGAAAGGCACCAAAGCCATGTTTCTTTGTTGTCCATGGTTAATACTGACTTTATTCCCACTCTACTATTTGAAATAGATTCCTTGTCCTCCAAGAATGGAAATATTCTACCCCAACAGGAACATATGCAGTAACCTGACCTGTATCTTGTGCCCATAAACAAATACTCCTTATTCTGGAGGCATTCACATCTCCAACTTCTAAACTTTAAAAGCACATGCTCTCATTTCCAAGCCCGCTCCCACCCCCAAATCCTCTGGAGCGCACAACCTATGTAGCATCGCCAACTATGGGGTCCATACAACCCAGTAACCACCTCAGTGGAGAGTATGTATCTCCCACTCCTAACATACTCATTCCCTCAGGGGGGAATATATATGGAGTTTCCTTTGAAGAAGAGGCCATGATGGTCCTAGCTGGTTTGGTCAGTGGGTAGAGCATCTGCCTGTGAACTGAAGGGTTCCAGGTTTGATTCCAGTCAAGGGCACATGCCTAGGTTGTGGGCTCAATCCCCAGTGGGGGGGGGGGGGGGGGGGGGGGGGGGCGCGGAGGCAGCCGATCAATGATTCTCTCTCATCATTGATGATTCTATCTCTCCCTCTCCCTTCCTCTCTGAAATCAATAAAATATATATTTAAAAAAAAAAAAAGAAGAGGACATGATGTGCTCAAATTTAGGATTTGCAAAAGATAGCTCTCTTGCCCTACTCTGGTAATATTCCTCAGTTTCTGACTGCTCTGGTTTCTCCTCTTTGGGGCCCCTGGCGAATGATATTGTCTTCCAGGTTTGTATCTAGCATGGAGAAAACAGCAGCTGTGAAATCTCAAGATCTTACTCAGCACTGAGTTTCATCCTGAAAGGTGGGAGCTCACTGAATCACTGTCTGACACCCATTGCCTAGGACCTCTCCTTCTCCAGCTCTGTCCTAAGGTTGGGATTGGGTCATTGTTGAGCCTCCCTTTTGATCTTTGCCCCAGTCACCCTATTTTCTTCCCCTTCTGATGTTTATTGTTGTCTTACCTAGCTAGCTTACTTTAGTTAACCTTGTACTTTCTTGGGAAACAGCCAAGATAGGTAGGTTGTAGCTAAGTGCTCCTTCCAACTCCATAAGGGGTCCTGGCATTAGAACTGAGATGGAGAGGTTGTGTAGTGCCCACCTCCCATCCTGCTGCTGGGGAAATGAAGCTGAACTCTGTAGGAATGCCCTAGTGCAAGGCTGGTCCCTTTTCCCACCCCCATCTCACCTCCCCCAGGCAGCTGGGAACAACTTCTCCCTTTGTCTGAGCTTCTTGTCCGGAATAATCCTCCTATGGACAATGTGTTCTCTGTGCCCTGTGGACACAGGAGCCGTATGAGCTGATCCCAGCACCAGGCAGGACGGAGGCTGAATCCTTCCAAACGCCCACCCTGGGTCAACTCCTGATTACTGTTCAGAGAAACTACTGAGGGATGTACATTTTCTTTCATCTGCTTCAGATTTGGGAGGATAACTTACTGAATTTTAGCAACAGACCAGAAGTAGGGCCAGGGGCTTTGGTCCCCCCCCCCCCTTTTTTTTTAATCAGTCCTGATAGTTCATTGTGCCTAACTGGGGAGGCTTGATATGACTCTGGCCTTACAGCCTTGAACACATAGGGGCTAACATTTGGAAGGGATTTGCCACCCTGTATGGCTACAAGCCTGTACAGCATGTTACTATACTAAATATGGTAGGCACTTGTATCTAAACATAGAAAAGGCACAGTAAAAATAGTATAAAAAATGTATAGGGCACTTACCATGAATGGAGCTTGGATTTGCTGAGTGAGTCAGTGAGTGAGTGGCGAGTGAATGTGAAGGCCTAGGCCAGTGATGGCAAACCTTGAGCTCACCGTGTCAGCATTTTGAAAAACCCTAACTTAACTCTGGTGCCGTGTCACATATAGAAATTTTTTGATATCTGCAACCATAGTAAAACAAAGACTTATATTTTTTATATTTATTTTATATATTTAAATGCCATTTAACAAAGAAAAATCAACCAAAAAAATGAGTTCGCATGTCACCTCTGACACACGTGTCATAGGTTCGCCATCACTGGCCTAGGACATGACTGTGCACTACTGTAGACTTTACCAACACTGGACACCAGCATCACCACAAGCAAACGAGTAATGCATTGCACCACGACATGATGGCTGCGACATCACTAGGCAAAGGGAGGTTTTCAGTGCTATTGATCTTATGGGACCATCGTTGTATATGCAGTCTGTTTACCAAAATGTCGTGTGGCGCATGACTGTAGTCTGAAGGGCTTCGGAGTAAGCCACCGGATTCCCTGGGGATCTTTATTTTATTTTATTTTTATTTTTTTTGCCATTACATTTACTTCACTGGAAAAGATTGGAAAACAGCTCAAATTTCTTGGAAAGGCAAATAAGATTCTGTGTGATCTAGCCCCTGACTTACTTTCTATATTATCCTATCACTCACTCTATTCCCCAGGTATACAGACTTTTTTCAGCCTCCATTTCTTTAAAATTAAAATGTTTTTATTGATATCAGAGAGAGGAAGGGAGAGAGAGAAACATCAGTAATGAGAGAGAATCATCCATCGGCTGCTTCCTGCACGCCCCCTACTGAGGATCAAGCCTGCAACCCCAGCACGTGCCCTGACTGGCAATCGAATTTTAACCTCCTGGTTCATGGGTCAATGCTCAACCACTGAGCAACACCGGCCGGTCCAACCTTCATTTCTTTATTCCCACTGGTCCCTCTGCATGGAACACTTTGCCCCATTATTCTGTCTGATGAATACCCAATCATCCTTCAAAATTCAGCTCATGAGTCATTCCTCTGTGAACCTTTCCAACAACCCAATCTGTCCTCAATTCCTTGCCACTCCCACTGGTAAGGTCAATTACCTCTTTTATGCTCCACATTTGTACCTTGTACATACTAAGTCTAGCTCTTGCTGCCCTTTACTGTCCCCCAAGTTCAAGCACATTAAACTGTCAGGGTTTGAATCCCAGTTTTTCCACCTGAGAATTGTGTGATCTTTGGCAAGACAATGTGTCTTGTATTACAGCGTCTGTAATGTAGCATTTGGGTTAAAAGCAGGTTTTAGTGCCAGACTGCTTGGGTTTGAATCTGGCTGTGACACTAACTGTGTGGTTTTGGGCAAGTTAATTTACTTCTCTGTGCCTCAGGTTTTTGTTTTTTTTTTTAATTCATGGGGATGATAATAGTGGCTGTTTCATTGGTTTGCTATGAAGTTTAAATAGATTAATATAGAGAGAGTGCTTAGAATAGTGCCTGACAATAGTCGAAGCTCAATAAATATTACCTATCCTCAAGGTAGTGTCTAGAACTCTGCTCTCAGTAATTGTTGCTTAAATCAATGATTGACCAGTATTTCTGAGGAAGTAACCTTTTCTTTCCTCTGCAGCTTGTCTGTGCTCACATCTCAGGAGTTTGGCCTCAGAGACACCCTTTATGCTCATTTCATTTCCCATGGTGTCTCCTTAGCACCTCATGCATACAAATCACTGACTTATCTGATGTGATAAGACATTTTCAAATCTAGTTTTGTGAATTTTTTTTCTCCCACTTAGTTGTCATCTATACTCTTCCTAATGAGCCCAGTTTGGTCTCTTAAATTGCATCATTTTTATTTGAGACCAAATGACAAACTCCCTCACCTGAAATGTTCTATCTCATCCCTCCTATACTATGTCTCTTCCCTGTCCAAACCAGGTAAAGACTTAGTTCCATTGTCTGCCTACATTCTGTTTTTAAACAGGGCCTGCGTCACTCACAGATCTCTCTGCAGCTCTGATCAGTTCTCTCCTTGGTTGTCCTTGCTTATTTGCCCTGGCCTCCATCCTGCTTCACCTGGGTTATCAGCTTAACATTGCTGTCAGTTCTGGTTCCTCTCTCTTCTTCCTTCTCACTCTGATTGCTCTGGTTCAGGCCTTCATTGTGTCACATCTGTACCTCTCAGCTGTTCTCTCAGATGGTCTCCATTCCTCATTTTTCTCTTGATAATATAGCTTACTGTCATCAGGTTTATCTTTGTAAAAGGCAATGGGGATCATACCAACCCCCTTTCTTAAAAATCAGGGACACACCCAATACAAATGAAACTCCTCATTCTTCTTTAAAAAAAACTTTTTTTATTGTTATTGATTTCAGAGAGGAAGGGAGAGGGAGAGAGAGATAGAAACATCAATGATGAGAGAGAATCATCGATTGGCTGCCTCCTCCAACCAGTAATTGAACCGTGACTTCCTGTTTCATAGGTCAATACTCAACCACTGAGCCACACTGGCCAGGAAAAAGTTCTCATTCTTTCATTCAAAACACTTCATGATAGGGGGCCACCCTATTTTTTAACCTTCTATCATAAGTAGGCCTTCCATTCACCTTATTCTTTAACCAAACAGAATCACTGTGCTTTCCTCCATCCATCCCTTCATCCACACTTTTCCTCAGCCTAGAATACCTATTTGCTTCCACCTTGCTATGTGACCTTGAAAAGATCCTTCACCCTTTCTGATCCCATTCTTTTCATCTGATAAGCAGTGATAATAGTACCTTACAAGACTGAACCATAAGAACACCTGGAAAGCAACTGGCCCCATGCTTGCCAGAGAAAGTACTGAATAGTAAGCTACATTTTCTCTTTTACCCTTTTGGCTCTTCTCACACATCTTCTAGATCTTGCTAACTCTTCCATTTTAAGAATCTCCCCTAGTTTGTCTCCTACCCCAAAGCTTCCCCTTTTCTCTCTCCAGAGCTCTTCTTGCAGGTTTTATCACAGCCCTCTTCCTTCTGAGTTTCTTTTTCAATGATCAGTTCAGGGAACACTCTTTGATACCCATGGCATTGGCTACCTACTCTTGTCCCTGACCTCTCAAGAGTCCAGGCAAACCCCCAAATTCCAGATGATATGAGTGTTTGCAAACAGCCTCTCCCTTCTGCCAGCCAGATGTCTTTCCAGCTCCATTTTCCTCAGCCAAGGTCCCAGCCTTAGGCAGTGTATACCTTCTATCTGGCTAAGGCCCAGGGACATGTAGAATGATTAACTGACAAACCCTTCACCCTCATCTTGGCTCCCTTGTCCTCACAGACTCAGCACTCCCCTCAACTCCCCCATGTGAGTACTGTGTAGAAAGTGCCCTTTGTCCTTTACAAGATGGGCATGGGGAAGCTTGACACAGCCCCTAGGAGGCTACCTGACACTCCTGTTGTCCCTCAGCCACCAGGGGTGGGCAAACTTTTTGACTCGAGGGCCACAATGGGTTCTTAAACAAAACCGGAGGGCCGGAACAAAAGCATGGATGGAGTGTTTGTGTGAACTAATATAAATTCAAAGTAAACATCATTAAAAAAAAGGGT